CCAAGTTCCTTTTTTACTAAGCAACGACCACACAAAAGTAAACAAGAAAAAACCACAACAGAAAAAAACTCAAAAGGTTGACTCAAACACTCAGTCAGCAAAATCCGCTAACATTGTTTTGTTCTATGCCACGCTGGCCTTAGGCAATGTTTAGTTGCTCACGCCTCACTTAAGTGACAAATTATGAGGAAGGACTCGCTTTAAGCGAAAGCTACTATTCTACGGGCAGATTGATAAAACTATCCTCAATACTACGCGAAGACTAGTTAGTTAAAAGCCTACTGTTCATTGTTCCAGTAAACCCACAGAAAACCTACACGTTTCACAATTATTTCATATAAGCAAGAAACCGTAATTCCTATCGACTCAGTGCATAGCAACCCACAGTAATATTCGATCGACACGAGAGAAGCTCTTCTATCATTTGCCTTCGGCTCTTGATTTGTGAACTTTGTTCGTGTTCTCTCAAAGCTCCTCAATGAATCCCGCGTGGATTATAGCGTCGATAACCAGAGAGTTTTATTATCTTAAATGTATAGCAAACGCCCTTTATTACAACCACCTTTCAACTTTGTCAACACCTCGGAAGATGCCTGGTTGCGCAAAAGATACTTAAAGATTGTAATGCGCGATAGAAAAAAGTCAGTATTTTAGAGTATTTAACCAGTTTCACCGCAAACTTGCGGTACGTCAGTAAACCTGTATACGCCATGGGTATGAAGTGACTGAGGTTCAGTCATGTTAAAGAACATTTGGATGAGGTACTAACATCTCTTATTTTTACCAGGGTGTCTCTCTGTTCCATCACCTCAGCTATATGAGGGCTAAATCGGTAATGGTTTGCACTACCATAAGTGGTCTTGATAACTTGGAATTCATCTATACTATGAAGAGTTCTGACCGTGCCTTCTTGTTCAAGCGTCTAGTTCTTCATATAGTCCCGCCATTCTGCGGCTTTAAACGCGAGATGGTACACTTCTCCATTTACTCTGTAGGAGGATTCAGCCGCTTGCCGTAACGTGGCAAAGTCAATAGCTTCATCAAGGTCATCTGTGAAGTGAACTCCTTCGCCCAAACGTGCCTCACGGTCATCCAAACTGTATGGGTTTTTACCTTTATTCACGCCTCGGTAAAGTGTTCCATCTTTTGGCTTTGACAAGTGAATAATTTCACACTCACCTTCGCTAAGTGCGGTCTTCCAAGCATGGATTATTGATGATCCACTGCATCCTAAAGGTCTGCCTGTTACACCCGTGCCGCCACTCGACTCTCCTTCATCTGAAACACCTTCTCTTCTCTCGTCTTCTCCTTCGCTTATCTCTGTAGCTGATACATACACCCATTCACCGAATTCACCATCTGCTTCGCTTTCACCACTGTCTGTTTTGCTTTCCTCGACTTCCCTTTGACTCTCCTCAAATTCTGTTTCCCTTGCCTCCCCTGCTGAATGCTCCATCCTTCTAAGGACTCCACCCTTTTCGTCACTTCCTAGACCTTCTGCTTTCCTTCCCTCGTCAACCAATCGACCCACTCCCTCAGCGTCTTCACTCGATCTCTCTTCTGCTTCCCTTCCATAAGTGTGTGGTTGATCCTCACCTCTATCGGCTCTTGTCACGGCTGATGACGCACCCGAATCCTCGCTATTTTCTCGTTCCGCCTTGGAATGATTTGATACAGGTTTTGACTTTTCGGAATCGGATTCAATTGGAACTTCTACATGTTCGAACTCCGCCAAGTCGTGATGGTCATGTGGATGCGTAACTCTACCTCCTTTAAACAGAGTTCCGACATCATAACCTCCTACTCCGTCCATGATGGGGGACATAACACCCCCCACCACGCCCCCGATAATCGTCTGTGGGTCTTTACCCGTGGCAACATTAGTCCAAGCTTTGATTTGTCCGGCTGGAGTATACTTCCCTTCTACAGCCGACTCTACTCCAGTTGTTATGCCATCCATCACAGCTCCCCCTGCGATACCCCCGGCAACCATTCCCACTGGACCACCGGATACCCCTAGAACGCCCCCTACGACAACCCCGGTTGACCTTGAAGCCTTCTTCATTGCCTCATTCCCACTCTTTCTGTCCCCGATGGCATAGTGTATTCCACCTTTGATGTGCCCTATCACAGGCATGCCATTGGCTACTTCATTGGTGGTGTGAATGACCACTTTGCCAGACTCGACCGCAGCTTCAGCCGTATGCTTTGCTAACTTGACGACCGTCTTATTCAAGGTATCCACCCGTCCAAAAGTGACTCCAGAAGCGGCTGCCACGGCACCTGTTGCTACGGCAGAGCCTACCGTTT